TTGTATTTTAATCCAGGGGTACACAGCGTAGGTCTGTGTCGACTCAGGTGTGTGTGTGTATGTGTGTGTGTGTGTATGTGTGAGTGTGTGTGAGTGAGTGAGTGAGTGAGTGAGTGTGTGTGTGAGAGAGAGAGAGAGAGAGAGTGTGTGTGTGTTGTGTCTGGTCAATATCTTTAGGGCATTTCTGATTTATTGCTATTATCTTCTGTTCTAAGCATTATTGCTTGTTTTCTCTGTGTTTTCAGGAGGGGAAAGAAGCACAGTGTGATTTTACGCACTCAGCTGAGTGTCCGTGTTCACGCATGTATCGGTGAGTCTCAGACACACACCAACACACACATCTGAGTGAACATGAAGCATCAGTGATCAGTTATACAGCAGCAAGGCTCTTCTGATCACCAAGGCTGCATTTATTTGAACAAAAATACAGTAAAAATTGTGAAATATTATTACAATTTAAAGTAGCTGTTCTCTATGTGAATATCTGTTAAAATGTAATTTATTTCTGTGATCAAAGCTGTATTTTCAGCATCATTACTCCAGTCTTCAGTGTCACATGATCTTCAGAAATCATTCTAATATGCTGATTTGCTGCTCAAGAAACATTTCTGATTATTATCAATGTTGAAAACTGTTGTGCTGCCCAATATTTTTGTGGAAACCGTCATACATATTATTTTTCAGGATTCACAGATGAACAGAAAGTTCAAAAGATCAATATTTATTTGAAAGAGAAATCTTTTGTTACATTATAAATGTCTTTACTGTCACTTTTGATCAATTTAATGCATTCTTGACGAATAGAAGTGTCTTTAAAACAGCTGTTTTCAATTATAATTTTCCACTATTTTTACTGTATTTTTGGTCAAATAAATGCAGCCTTGATGAGCAGAAGAGACGTCTTTCAGAAATCCTTATGCTGTAATATTGTGTGCATTATTAATCGTTTTTGCCGTAAGGAAGTGCAAAGATCTCAGTAGGTGTCAGACTGTGGTTTGTGTGACTGGTGTCAGCGAGTCTAAGTTAAAATCACTATAAAGCGTTTGAGCTGATCAAAACTGCTGATTTGAGTTTGATGTGTGATCGCATTTCCTGTGTCAGCGCAGAGGGACATTTGACACCTGTGAGTGTGTGAGTCTTTTTATATCGTTCCTTATAACACCGGGGCTGAATTAATCTTGAGCTAAAAGAGCTCACACAGGCTAGAACTGTTTCATGAAGAGGATGACAATCTTGATTCATTATACTGACCAATTTATCAGTTATTCTATCCTTTGCTATCACATCAATAGTGGGTAACACACAACCCACCACAGAACCTGCCTTTTTTATGAACTTATTGAGTTTGATCTTCTCCTTCTCCAACAATCCCCCTCCCCAGCAGGTAACAGCATACAAGATCACAGATGATACCACAGAATCATAAAAGGTCTTCAACAGTACCTGACATTTACCAAAGGATCTCAGTCGCCTTAATAAATGAATGCGACTCTGACCCTTCTTATAAACCTGTATCGTATTGTCAGACCAATCAAGCTTGGTATTCAAATATACACCCAGGTACTTATATGATGTGACAATCTCCATTTCTGACTCTTGTATATTCACTGGCACCACTTGATGAGGATATCTACTAAAATCAAGCACAATTTCCTTAGTCTTACTAGCATTAAGCCTAAGACAATTTGTTTCACACCAGTCCACAAAACTCTTTAAAAGCTCCCTATATTCACTCATCATGATCCTTTATACAGCCAACAATTGCAGAATCATCAGAAAATTTCTGGAGATGACAGTTTTTGGAGTTGTACTGGAAATCTGATGTATAAAAAGTAAATAAAAACGGAGCTAAAACAGTTCCTTGAGGAACACCAGTGCTACTCGTAACTACTTGGGACACACAGTTCTGCCTCCTTACATACTGTGGTCTATTTGAGAGGTAGTCCATTAACCAACTGACCATACTCTGGTGTAATCCAGCATTTTCTAACTTATTCTTGAGTAATGCTGGCTGGATAGTGTTGAATGCACAAAAAAAAATAAAAAAAATGTGATTCTAACGGTCTCTAAATGACTTAGAGATTTATATAAAAAATAAATGATTGCATCATCAACCCCAACACCAGTTTTGTAAGCGAACTGCAGTTTATCCTCAGCAGCACTCAATAGCTGCTTAATATAATTTAAGACCAACCTCTCAAAAACCTTCATCAACTGAGCCATTAAAGCTATTTATAGCTAGCATTTTTAGCTATCTATAATGTGAGAACTCAGTGGGATTAATTTTCTTAGGGACTGTTACTACACATGATGTCTTCCATAAAACAGGTACCTTTTCCAATCGCAAGCTCAAATTAAAAATTTAATGAATTACCCAACAGATTTGATCAGCACAGGCTTTAAGAACTCCAGCACTAATACCGTCAGGGCCTGCAGATTTCTTCTTTTTAATTCTCCTCAACCCACTTCTTACTTGTTTCATCGATACAGCAAACTTAGGATCAGACTCACAAGTGGGAAAATAAGATGATCTTAAAACTGAAGGAGGATCTAAATAGGAACTCTGCCGTATACCATCTGGAAGGGAAAATTTTAAATCACTAGATCCTCATCAAATCTATTAAAAAATATATTCATTTCATGCACCCACGTCTGTCCACCAGGGGCAGTATATCCCTGTACTCTATTTCCATTACCAGACATCCTGTTTAAATCACTCCATACCTCTCTCACATTCTTCTGTTGTAACTTTTGTTCCATTTTTAATTTATAACACGCCTTCCCCTCCTTAATTTTAACTTTTAATAATTTCTGTACCTGCTTCAGCTCCTCTCTATCACCCACTAAGAAGGCCCTCTTTTTTCCATTTAATAACGCCTTTAACTCAGGGGGTAACCCATGGCTTGTTATTTGAGTAACATTTAACCTTTTTGGTGGGTACTGTGTTATCAACACAAAAGTTTATGTAGTCTGTAATACACTCTGTTAAACTATCGATGTCCTCGTCATGCGATTTACATAGAACTTCCCAATCCGTAGTCTCAAAACAATCCATTAATGCCTCTTATCGAATGTGTGAAGTTTGGGGAAGATCGGACATTGTATGGCTGACGAAATAAACTACGTGCATGCAATGTCGTGGTCAGTTAAGTCATGAAGTTACCAAAAAGGCGACTAAAGCTGCCTTAAAACTGTGCATGCATGTAATATATTTTATATGAGTCACATTTATGTCCCTGAAATGGTTTTCAAAACTGTCCTGGAGCAGCCCAAATCTCCCTCATCTAACACACCCGATTTAACTCATAAGCTCATTAATAGAGACTTTAAGACCTGAAGTGGGTCAAAAAAAGGTAAAAAGAGTTGAGAGAAAATACGATGCGTGTCAGATCCGCGTCACGTTCAGCAGCGGCAGCTCTTAAAGAAATAGCAGCCAAAACAACCTAATAACCAGCTACTGTGATGTCTATTAATCAAAGGACAAAGGGAAAAAAGAGGAAAAAATAGCTTTTATAGCTTTAAGGGTTCATCTATATTTAATTTAGAATTTAGTGTTTGATAACTTCAATTTCAATTTCTGTATATTTCTGCTGAAGGGCACAGGTAAATATGACATTTATTATAATGGGTTTATGTGAAGATTGTTTTAAGTTCACTTAAATTAGAAGTTATTTTTTAAAGTCTAATAAATGATAAATTGATAGCTCTCAATTATACTGTAATGTTGAATGGGGGGGGGCAATTTAATAGAGAAATCAGTATTGGTATCATTGATACTGTCCTTCTGTCATAAAAAAGATGCCATTAAACAAATATTAAAAAATATACTGTCTTTATGTTGTTTGTACATTCATTTGAAGATTGAATGTGAAATTATTGCAATATAAAAGTATATTTAAAAACTTTAATGTTAGGTGGGATTAATCGCAATTAATTCCAGAAAAATGTGCAATTAATTAGTTAATTTTTTTAAATCGATTGACAACACTAGTTATATTACAAATGTTGAAATTTCCATGAACTGAGATTAATAAAATGCTATAGATTTTTTTTTTCATTGTTAGTTCATGTTCAACTAGTGTTACCATCATCAGGGTTAAAATAGTTAAGTAACACTAAAACCAGAAAACAATTTTTGAAATAAAACTTCAACTGAAATAAAATAAAATATTTGAAAACTTAAACTTATTTTATTTTAGCTAGCTTCCAAGGCAACATTTCTCATTTTCAGTTTAAAGTATTAAAATAACTCAAAATAAAACTGAAATAAAAATTTATGAAAACTACATAGACGTAAAAATGACAAAAACACACAACAAAATTACAAAAACTTTAACTAAAATTAAAATTAATAAATAAATAAATGTATGTAAAATATACAAAATATAATATAAAAAATAATTTAAATATAATTCAAATTTTGATTAAAAACTAGTGGTACTAAAATGAACCTGGTTACCATTTATTGAAATATTAACAAACTCTTTATATATTTTAATATAAAATTATAAAATCTTAAAATGTGTATGTTTATATATTATAGTATGCTTATATTTATGTGTATATAAATCTAGTTTTGATTGGCAGAATCCAGCATGACAGTGTTATTTGTGAGACAAAGTGTTTTTGCTGAAGTTGATTATGTAATATTGACAGTAAATCTGAACTGAATCTAGAGTCTGAATGTGTTTTCTAACTCCAGATGGCTGTTTTGAACTCGAGTGATTCATAATGTGAATCAGTTGTTACATTGATTCAGATGAATCATCTGATCTTTTGATTTGAGTCCATCATGATCCAAATGAGCAAGCAGCTTCATCACGTGATTATTGAATGTATTTGCTCAGTGGCTCTGCTCCGTCTGGAGTGAGTAAGTGCTCTGATATCAGAGCTGAAGTGCCTCTGTAACTGATATAACGGGGTAATTTTAGCAGCTGCTTGATGATCTGGATGCCGTTTGCGCAGCAGCGTTTCTGCGATATCTTTAGAAAGTGTTCATAAGACAGAAACATGTGAAAGAGAGACTGCAGAGGTCAGAGACCGCGAGGTTTAATTACCTGCTGGATCACACACGAATAATGCACTAAATATAAAGTTAAAAACACTCAATTTAAAATTATTTTAATTTTAATTAGAGCCTGACGCTCGGTGTCCTCAACAACAGCAGTCAGTCGCGCCTTTAAAAACCAGCAGCATTTACAGGAAAAACGAGTGGGTGTGTGTGTGTGTGTGTGTGTGAGCGAGCGTGCGTGCGTGCGAGTGCGAGAGTGTGTGTGAGTGTGAGTGAGTGAGTGAGTGAGTGAGTGAGTGAGTGAGTGAGTGAGTGAGTGAGTGAGTGAGTG